TGCCTCTATATGTCAGGCAAACTCCAGTAAGTTGTTAAGGGTAGTGGCAGGCAAGCGCCTGTAAGTGTTGGGTTGGGGGGCACCTCAACAGCATACAGCTGCACTACATGGTGGGCGTGTTGTTCGGGCTGGCTCAGCAGCTGTTTAACCTCTGGAAGAGACAGGAGTTTGTGCCTCTATACGTCAGGCAGACACCGGAGAGAAAGGATCATCTGTACTGCCTTGTTGCACCATGCCTCTGTTTACTCGCATGCATATATGTGTCTATCCTCCCCCCTTCCCCCCTGGTAGAGCGACATCACAGGAGAGCACACGTGCATCATGCTAAAACCTCTCAGACAGAAACGCCGATGTGGGCCCAGAGTCTCTCATTGCTGTGCGCCCCCCCCTCTCCCCCCCTCTCCCCCCCTCTCCCCCCCTCTCCCCCCCTCTCCCCCCCTCTCCCCCCCTCTCCCCCCTCTCCCCCCCTCTCCAACCCCCCCCTCCCTTTCCCCCTTGTAGAGCGACATCACAGGAGAGCACACGTGCATCATGCTCAAACCCCTCAGAAACGACGATGTGGGCGGGGCAGACTCCAAGGACTCGTGGCTCGGGTCCTTCACACAAGGTGCGTGGGTGGGTGGTGGGACTGACGGGGATATAACAGCAGAGAGAAAACCTTTTAGTAAGACAAGGACTCGTGGCTCGGGTCCTTCACACAAGATCGGTAGGATACGTGAGTGTGAGTGTGAGTGAGTACAAGTGGAAGTTTTGTATGATGCATGTTCTTACCTGCTAAATATTTTCTTTCTTTGCACCCTGTCCTTCCCTGCCCTTCATCTCCTCCCCCCCACCTCCCTCCAGACTTCCAGCGTCGCTTCCTCTCTCTCCTCGGCTTCTCCTTCAGGCCCCTGCCGCCCGCCCTTTGCCTCAGGTAGATCCGAGCCTCAGGTAGATCCGAGCCTCAGGTAGATCCGAGCCTCAGGTAAATCTGAGCCCTGCATCCCACTTGTGTTTCTAGGTTGTTGCCCCCTGCTCCCTGAAGCAAGCGTTTGTGTCTCAAGCGCCCTCAGTCTTATAACCAGGTGACTTTTGAGTCGACTCAAAAGTCACCTTATAACCTCCCTCTCTCCTCGGCTTCAATTCTCCCCCACCCCCCTCAACCCGCCACCTTTGATCGCCCTTCCTGCAGCATTCTGGATCCGCAGATTGAGTTCTCAGAGGCGCAGGCAAGGGATGCGGCAGTGCCTGCAGGGCTGATGGAAGGAAAGGCGGCGCTGCTGTCACCGTACGACATGAAGCGACTGGAGTCATACGCCAACAACCTGGTGGACTACCACCTGGTAAGGCTCTGCTGGCAACACCCCAGACTTTAACACATGCGCTGCGGTCACCGTACGACATGAAGCGACTGGAGTCGTACGCCAACAACTTGGTGGACTTCCACCTGGTAATGTGCCCGTGCACCCTAGAATTTGAACCTCACACTCCAGAGGAAGGGAGGGAGGGAGGGAGGGAGGGAGGGAAGGGGTGCGGTGCTGCTGTCACCGTACGACATGAAGCGACTGGAGTCATACGCCAACAACCTGGTGGACCACCACCTGCTAACACTGCCACACCCTGAACCCTGCATACCCACATATAGGAATGCGCAGCACTGGTGCAAGGTTAAGTAGTTTAGTTTTGAGAAGTCTCAAAACTTAACTTAACCCGCAAATACGGATGCCAGCACTAGTGCAAGGTAAGAAAAAGTTAGGAAGGAAGGGCGCATGGCTCTCCTTCTTACTTGCCTTCTTCTTCCCCCTTTCCCCCCCCCCCTTCCCCCCTCCCCCCCATCAGATTATGGACCTCATCCCCCCTCTCGCCCCCCTCTTCTTCCTCGGCCTCATCCCGGCGTCTCTCTCCTGCATGCAGTTCTTGGCCCTCATCCCTACAGTGTCCTCTCTCCCCCCCCCCCTCCCCCCCATCAGATTATGGACCTCATTCCCCCTCTCGCCCGCCTCTACTTCCTCGGCCTCATCCCGGCGTCTCTCTCCTACGCCCAAGCTGCCATTCTGCTGTCCTTTGGTCTCCAGCACCACGAGCTGTCCACCATAGAGGTACGGCTGTTGCAGTGGCTGTGGAGTGGAGAGGTGTTGAGTGCGGTTATAACACTGAGGGGTGTAGCACACCTGAATGCCATTCTGCTCTCCTTTGGTCTTCAGCACCACGAGCTGTCCACCATAGAGGTATGCACACACACACACACACACGCACACACACACACACACACACACACACACACACACACACACACACACATGCAAACTGGTGTTGAGGTATGGCTGTAGCACACCCATCCCACTGTAGCACACCCATCCAGCTGTAGCACACCCATCCAGCTGTAGCACCACGAGCTCTCAACCATTTACTTTTGGAGAATTCTCAAAATACGGCTGCACCAATCCATTCAGCTGCCCTCTTGGACTTTCGTCATTCGCCTGCTCCTCCCCTCTCACAGCCTTTATTTTCCCACTGCCCGGACTCCCTATAGGCGAACCTTCGGCTGCCCGGGACTCAGGTGCTCGCTCTTTTCAACAAGGCCATCCGCAAGATCCACGGGGTGCTGTACGCTGCTGCTGCGCGCACCATCGAGGCTGCGCTTCCTAGAATCAAGGAGGTGCGTGTGGTGTTGTGGGAGGGCACAGTATACCCTCTACTAGAGTGAGCGCTCAAGTACCCTCTCAGGTGCTCGCTCTTTTCAACAAGGCCATCCGCAAGATCCACGGGGTGCTGTACGCTGCTGCTGCGCTCACCATCGAGGCTGCGCTTCCTAGAATCAAGGAGGTGAGTTGATCTCCTGATGCTTTCTAATCCATGGGGTGCTCGTTGCTGCTGCTGCACGCATGATCGAGGCTGCTCTGTGTAAAATCAAGGAGGTATGTGCACCAGTAACTCTCTCCGGATACTCTCTGATCCATGGTGTGCTGCACGCTGCTGCTGCGCGCACCATCGAGGCTGCGCTTCCTAGAATCAAGGAGGTGCGTGATTTTTTAGAATCCTCATTAGTGCACCTATGCTGCTCCGTTGTGCGGCCTTGTCATGTGCTGCTGCTGCTGCTGCTGCCACCGCCGCCGCCGCCGCCGCCACCCGCATCCGCTCATGTGCACAGGACTCACACACGCCCATGCATCCCACGGTCTGCTCTTTCTCCCTTCCCCTGCTCACTCCTTTCCTCTGCTCTCTCCCTCCCTCCTCTCCGCCCCTACCCCCAGGTTGGCCTCCGGCCTCACCCCCAGTCAGTGGACGAAGATTTGGCAGAGGCAGCAGATCAGCCTTTCCCTCTCTCCCTTCTCCCCCCCCTCATCCGCTCCCTCCCCCTACTCCCCTCTCCACCTCTCCCCCAGGTTGACCTCCGGCCTCACCCCCAGTCAGTGGACGAAGATTTGGCAGAGGCAGCAGATCAGGCAAAGGTAAGCCATCAAATTTATCAGAGGCTCACTGGTACTTTCTGGGTATTTATTTCTGCCAGTGAATGAAAACAGAAGAGGAGGGTGCAATTTAAGTCCAAAAAATGTTCTTGCAATGCGATTAGTGTAGTGTAGCAGTGGTATTCTCATCCTATTCTTGCCCCATAAACTCTGCCCCGGTAACAGAAGGTGATCAAATCCCGGCTGGAGGGAGGAGCAGAACCCGGAACTGCCACCGTGCTGACGTCACTGACAGCTGGACAGATGCAGGAATTCGCGATGGACGGTCGAGATAAGGACTTCGAGGCTGCTATCGCTGCAGGTGGCGGGAAGCTGCCAGGAAGCGGGGTGCTGAGCGTGAAGGCACAGGGAGGAGGGAAGAAGAGGGGTGGTGGTGGGGGGGATGGGGATGGGGATGGTGGGGATGGGGGGAAGAAGAGGATGAAGAGTGGGGCCAAGGGGAAAGGTAAGGGCAAGGGAGGAAGAGGGTAGACATAAGTAGAGGCAAGGGGAGAGGAGTCATGGTTGAAACGATGATGCTCACAGTGCACACGTAGATAACAAATAGTTCCATTGGTATCACCATGCCCATCTTACACATACCGTTGATTGAATGTTCTCCACCATTGTTATTTCTGAGATGTTTTTCAAAACCTATCCCTTATTCACTCAATCCATTGTGATGGCCTTATACACGACATGAACCACCAATTTTGTCGCTTCAGCACGCCACACAACACTAGCACCTCCATTTCGTCGAGCATGGCGGGAAACTAGTCGTGCTGGCACTCCCGTCCGTTGGTATTGGTTGGTCTGTTTTGCATCTCTGACCGTGCCGCACATGCATCTTCCTAAGATCGAGGAGCTCCGAGAGAACACACAACGTTGATTCTGCCCGATCTCGGGATATTCAATGTGCTTAACTGCCACAGAAACCTGCCCGAAGGTGAAACTAACTTATTCCCCAGGTCTGCAGTCACCTCAACTCCCCCCGCCCCCTGACCTGGCGCATGGGTCTTCCTTCCAACCACGCGTTCCTCCCTTCCCATCTGACGAATGGATGAGCTTCGACAAGCCGCCGCCATCAAATCCACGCGCCGAAGCTTCTGGTTCATTGTCCATTTAGCGACTGCCATGTAATACTTCAAACTGCCCTTCAACTACCACATCTCCGAGAAAGCTGACGATGACTCCCAATGAAGGCTCGATGAGCCCAACACGTCACCCTCAAGCTCCGAAAAGGCATTCCGGCGGGAAGTCGCGCAACTGACCCACCTTCTCGCGAACCGATGTGTCATTACGTTTTGTACTTACTGTACTAGTGCCCGCTTTACCTCTTCCCTCAGCTAAAAGTGATGCTTAAAGAATGGCTCTGGGCCTCGGTGGCACATCAACCTGCTCAGTTCTGTTCGCCTATTGGGCTTTGATTGGCGGCCCAATCAATCGCTCCCATCATATCTCACCCTCTACCAATCCGCTTCTCCGACTGCCTTACCTGTCACCTAGGTTCAGGTTCAGCCGCAGACCTCGAGTTTATGTTCAGGCCTTGAGACCACCTTCTTTCTTTTCCCTTCCCTTGGGATTAGTTTCAGGCCTTTCAGTTTAGGTCTGCTCTGCGCTGACCAGCTTCCTCTGCGTGCCTTGTTCCTTCCTCGTCAAGGGTCAAACTCGTTGCGTGTTGTCAGCTACTTCTACTCCATACCGGCTTCGTTGTGAGCTAGGTGTAGACCAGCTTGCATTGAGCTGGTTGTAGCTGAGCCACATAATAGCCATGGAGGCACTTGCAGCGACTGGTCCGTCCGTCTGCTCATTGCACCAGGTGCGTTTTTTTTTCTCGGTTTATAGCTCGCACAAGATAGGAGGAATCTGAGAACGGGGAGATACGAGTGAATCAATGGCATGTCTGGCGTTGCTGGTTATTGGATCTCCGTTTCGCATGCGTTCATCCTACTCATCATTATCCCTATCAACCACGCGCTTTCGACGGTCCGTCGATGCTCTTTCGCTAGATTCAACGTTAGCAATAGGGTACACGCTATCAGGCCGATTATGAGTTTCTGCTAGTACATTTTCCGCATCTTTTCCGATCAAAGGATCCCGGGATTGAAAGAGATTTACTTCTGGCTTGTGATCTTATCAAAGGATTCCGGGGTTGAATAAGTTTTTCGTATCTGACTTGCTTTCAGGCAGCAGCGCAGGATCGGCCGTTATGGCTTTTGGAGTCGACTCAAATGGCTTTTCGTATCTGGCTTGCTTTCAGGCGGCAGCGCAGGATCGGCCATCCAAGCATGGGAGGAGGACGCGGCAATGGCGGATCACTCGTCGCAGTGACGAGGCTGTTCGGGTACGTTGAGTCGACTCAGGAGTGAGGTTGTTCGGGTACGTGTTAGCCGCTGGCTCTTCGTAGAAACAACAGCGGTTGTATCATCGTGTGATATCAACCCCTCTTTTTTATGTTCCTCTTTTTAGATGCATGTTTTTAGCGATGTGTTTTCTGGGAGCTATATCATAGAATCGTGGATTCGCGTAGCCCTCGAAGCCGTTGGCTTCACGTGATTAACATGAGGCCATAAAATACAATTCTACGTATGGTAACACAGTCGCATGTTTCCGCCTATAACCTCCTCCTCCCCCTTCCTCTCCCCTAAACCCTCCCCTTACAGCCGAACTGCGCTATTTCCGCTAGTGCGGTCGCTGCTACGTCAGCATTCCCCGTACCACTGCAAGCCAAACGCCTTTGGCTGGCTCCCTGCGTGGACGCCCTTAGCGCTCCCCGTACCGCTTTCCCCCGCCCATCTTTCTCGGCGGAAGCACAGGCGGGGCGCCTGACTGTGCGCGCGGAAGCGCAAGCAGGTGCGGTAGCGGCGGACGTTCCCCCACTGGAGACGAAGCTTTACGACTACGTGGTTATCGGCAGCGGCATTGCCGGGCTTCGATTCGCGCTAGGCGTCGCGGCGAAGGGCACAGTAGCGGTGGTGACTAAAGCCGAGCCGCAGGAGGGCAGCACGAACTACGCGCAGGGTGGCGTGAGCGCGGTCCTGGATCCGCTAGATTCGATCGAGAATCATATCTCGGATACGATCGTGGCGGGCGCGTATCTGAACGATGTGGAGGTGGTGGAAGTGGTGTGTCGGGAGGGGCCCGAGCGCGTGCGCGAGCTGATGCGCATGGGCGCAAGCTTCGACCGCGGGGACGACGGGCGCCTGCTGCTTGCGCGCGAGGGGGGGCACTCCCACTCGCGGATTGTGCACGCGGCGGACGTGACCGGGCGGGAGATCGAGCGCGCGCTGCTGACGGCGGCGCAGAAAACGAAGAGGATCGACATGTTTGAACACCACATGGCGATCGACCTGCTGACCCGACAGGTGAGAGGGGGGTGGGAAGGGAGAGGGAAAGGGTGAGGGGTCGATCGAGACAGCGCTGCTGATGGCGGCGCAGAAAACGAAACGGATGGATATGTTAGAACAACACATGGCGATCGACCTTCTCACATGACAGGTGAGAGATGGAAGGGTCAGGTGTGAGCGGGGAGGGAAAGGGAAAGGGGATATATGAGGCGCCAATAATCGGACGAAACGGATTAATATGCTCGAATACCGTATGGTGGCGATCGAGCTGCTGATGAGACAGGTGTGAGTGGGGAGGGAGGAGCGGGAGCGGGGGACGAGGGATCTAGGGGGGTCCACAGGAGAACAGAGCAGCAGCTTTCTGATGGATCTGGCCAGTGTACGATTTGACCCCATTACACCATGCCACCCCTCCCGCCGCCCTCCCGTCGCCCCCTGTCGTTCTTGCAGGGCAAAGCGCATGCTACGGCGTTGAAGCGCTGGACACTGAAACGTGGCAGATCTTGTTTGAGGCGCTACGGCCATCATACCGTGGCCTATCTTGTTTGAAGTGCTACAGCCATCAAACCGTGGCAGATCTTGTTTGAGGTGCTACAGCCATCAAACCGTTCCAGCAACCCCTACCCTGTCCGTTTCCCACTGCAGGAGGGCGAGGGGCAGAGCACATGCTACGGCGTTGAGGCTTTGGACATTGAGACAGGGCAGATCATCCGCGTTATCGCCGGCTTATGCTATTCCGCTTTCCGTCACACTTCCCTCCCATGCCTACAGGAGGGCGAGGGGCAGAGCACGTGCTATGGGGTTGAGGCGTTGGACATTGAGACGGGGCAGATCATCCGCTTTATTGCGGGATCCACTCTGCTCGCTTCGGGAGGGGCCGGGCACGTGTATCCCAACACCACCAACCCCACGGTATGCTGTCTCTGCCCATTGCACACCTGGCACCGCCTTCTGTAGGCTGCACACGTGGTATGACCTTCTGTATGTTGCACACGTGGCACCGCTTTCTGTACGTTGCATAACTTCCACGTCATTCTCCCGCTTACTTCCCGGCCCCTTACGTTCCGCCCTCTGAGCTTGCAATCATCGCCTTCTCACCTTTTGTCCAATCACCTCCTACCATGTGTGTGCAGGTGGCAACTGGGGATGGCGTGGCTCTGGCTCTTCGTGCCGGCGCCGGCATTTCCAACATGGAGTGAGTTTGCATCCCCCCTCCATTCCCCATCCCGCCCTCCTCCCCCGCTCCTCCCCCCTCAACACCTGCCTCCTGTGCTATTCATCTTTCTACATCCCTGGCTCTCTGCGCACGCGCTGTTGTTCCCAGCATGAAGTGAGTGTGCCGCCCCCCGCCCTGCCCTGCCCTCCTCGTCTGTCCCAACAACAGCCACCTCACGTGCTCTTTCTCTTTCAAAGACCCTGGCTCTCGTGCGCGGGCTGTCATTCCTAACATGAGGAGAGAGAATATGTACGATTCAGCATGGACCTCTTAAAAGGCCCCGCTTGCCCATCCAGCCTCCCGGGGGTCCGCGCTCCACCTCCTTCCTCACCCCGCTTTCCCCGCTTTCCCCGCTTTCCCCGCTTTCCCCGCTTTCCCCGGCCCCTTACTTTTTGCCCCTTGCTTTCATCCCAGGCTCTTTCAGTTTCACCCAACGGCCATTGCAGACGCAGGGCTGGCCATCCAGCCCCCTGGGCCGTGCTCCAACTCGTTCCTCATCCCCGTATCCCCCCCCCCCCCTCCTCTCCCCCGCTCCCCGCACCCCCCATTCCCCAGGTTCATTCAGTTCCACCCAACAGCTCTAGCAGACGCAGGGCTGCCCATCCAGCCTCCCGGTCCACGCCCCAACTCCTTCCTCATCTCCGAAGCTGTCAGAGGAGCAGGCGGGCTGCTCTACAACCAAGCAGGCGAGCGCTTTATGTTGCAATACGACCCCCGGGCGGAACTCGCCCCTCGTGACGTGGTCGCCCGGTCCATCGACGACCAGCTGAAGCGCCGCGGGGACCTCTTTGTCTACCTCGACATCTCGCACAAACCGACGGACGAGATCCTCCGCCACTTCCCCAACATCGCGGCGGAATGCAAGCGCTGGGGGGTGGATATCACAAAGGACCCGATCCCCGTGGTCCCAGCCGCGCACTACATGTGTGGCGGCGTGCAGACGGGTCTGTTCGGGGAGACGTCGATCCGGGGATTGTGGGCGGCGGGGGAGGTGGCATGCACGGGGTTGCATGGGGCGAACCGGCTGGCGTCAAACTCCCTCCTGGAAGCGCTGGTGTTTGCCCAGAGAGCTGTGGAGCCGGCTATTGCACATGCTGTGGCTGCTGCGCCTCTGAATCATGTTCTTGCGGGGTTGGCGGATGGGGGGGATGTGGAAGGGGTGGTGTGGGGTGGAGAGGAGTGGGAGGGAGAGGGGGAGGGGGAAGGGGAGGGGGAGGTGGTGAAGGTGGTGGGGTTGAGAAGGGGGGATCCAGGGGCGGTTGCAGCTGCTCAAGTGACTGCCAGCTACAGGGAGCAGCTAAAGGTGAGCCTTGTGCAAGTTATCTCTCAATCCATTGAGACCTGTGCTGCTTTTTTTTACTTGCTTTGGTTTTCTTGACTTGGTGGTTTTCTGGTATGCCGTGGTATGCCGTGGTATGCCGTGGTATGCCTGGTATTTCTGGAAGTACGAGTGCTCCCTCTCAAGGTCCTCTTCATTGCCTCCCGCATTGTCTAGTACACTCCCTGGTGACTTTTGAGTCGACTCTAATGCCTTCTCCCGCATTTTCTAGTACACTCCCTGGCGCGATGTAACGATGTTACCTCTCAAGTTCATTGCCTCTGCGCCATGTCACGTCCTGGCGCGATGTCCACATTGTCCGGCCCTCGACTTCCCTTGTTGTCATGTTGCATGCACCATCTAACGTTTCCCTTGAATCTATTTTCCTAACCCTCCTCGCATGGTGTGATATTCCAGGCCATAATGTGGCGCTATGTCGGCATCGTCCGATCCACTGACCGCCTACGAATAGCCCAGAGGGAAATCGACACGCTGGCGGCCACCTGGCGCTCGGACCTCGAGACCACTGTACAGCTGCCACGTGGCGCCGTCTCAGTGGAGACGTGCGAGATGGAGAATCTAATCAACGTGGCGTCACTCGTCGTACAGAGCGCATTGAGGCGGCGCGAGAGCCGAGGTCTGCATTTCACCACAGATTTCCCAGCACAGTCAGAATCGGCTCGCCTGCATACCGTGCTGGTGGCGGGGTGTTTGGACGAAGAGGAGGATGACTGGGAGGAGGGTGGTGGGAGGGAGAGTGACAGTGATGGGGCGAGCGATCTGGAGGCTAGGTTCGGAGCCACGGAGAGGCTTGGGTGGACGACGTGGTGGAGGCAGTCGGGGCCTGTGGTCCGGCAGACAGGCCCGGGTGCAAGACAGGCTCGGCCAGTGGAGAGGAGAGCAGGTGGTGAGAGGAGGCAGGGAGGGCCAATGCGACCTCAAGCTAAGCTGACTCTCAAGGGGAAACCACAACGGCTGGAAAGCCAGCCTCCACCTCAATAGAGGGGGATCCGAAACAGAGACTTGTGAATCTTATTCCGGGATAGGCATTTATGTTGTGGATTGTGTTCTTAATTCTTATTTTAGTCCCCTCTGCACCAGCAGTTATGAAGTACTTATTGATCGTGTGTATTGGCCAATATTGAAGCCGGTGAAACGAGTACGTGGTAGAATTGAAGGATGTGTGACGGCCTCCGTCTACAAGCCCCGCATGGACGTTCATCTGACTGAATTCGTCGGGAAATTCGTCGTCGGGAAAACCGAGGCTGTAGTAGAGAATGCACGATCCTCCCTTTCCTCGCTGTCATGTCTTTACATGTATCTTCCTTTCGGTGCTCGTTTCGCTTGGCTCCTCGCGCATGACGCTCCGTTGGCCTAGCATGGCAGGGTCTAGCATTGCAGGGTCTGGCATGGCCCGGTGTGAAAAGACCCGCGAAGTCGCTGTCGCAAGTCGATCTCCGATTGGGCGAGATTCTGGTCACTCACGTGATCGTGTCCCGTGCTTGGCTTGGAGCTGTCGTCGGCATCGAAGTTTGATCAGCTCTGTCAGGGCGAGCTCGTGGCGGCGGAGAGATAGGAAAATGACGTCTCCGGGAAAACAGGAAAATTACTTGTTTGTGGGACACGCTGGCGGGAGCCGTGTGGAGAGCACGACTAGCACGCGGTGAAAGCGGGTGAAAGCGGGTGATAGCGGATGACAGCGCGACCAACGGAGTTCAATATTATCTCTCCGGCTTATCCCGCTTCCATGACAGCTCTCTCCAAAGAGCTTCGAGTAATATCCCTGACTTGAGATTCCTGACATACTCTTCTGGCCGACGCGCTTCTGACGGCTGCTCTTTCGAATCGACCGTCCTCTCCGTCGCCATGCCTCAGTTCAAGCGATGGCTCCAACGGCCGAATCCGGTCCACCTGGCGTGTGCTGCGACGGCCGAGATGTTCGGAACCATGTTTTTCGTCTTCGTGGGCGTCGGCTCAGTCGCCGTCTCAAGTGAGTAATACCTAGCTCAGCTGAGTTCTATCCAGAGTTGCATGTCCAAATCCGGTCCAACCTGGCGTGCGCTGCAGACAACCGAGATGTTCGGAACCAAGTTCTTTGTCTTTGTGGGCGTCGGCTCGGTGGCCAGTCTCAAGTGAGTCAAAACTCGGGACTCAAAGGAGCCCTTCAAGTGAGTCTTATCCAATTTGGACTTTGAAAGAGTCCCAATTTTCACCCAGTTTGAGTCAGTTCGCGGCTCCTCAAAGCTAGTCCTGTCCTGGCCGCTTGTATTGCTGTATGTGCGTGGAAACGGAATGATTATTGCAAAAAAATTACGCTCATTTCTATCCTGTTGATTTCCAGGTGAATTTGTTCAAGGGCTGGATGTCGTCCGCATTCTCTCCATAGGGATCGCGCATGGTCTTGCTCTCGTAGTCGCTGTGGGTGCTGCATCCGGGATTTCAGGAGGACACATCAATCCAGCGGTGACAATAAGCATGCTGGTAGTGGGGCTGGTTGACGTCATCACAGCAGCAGCTTATGTGGCAGCTCAGCTGATAGGAGCTGTGTGTGGTGCTGGCCTTGTCAAGGCGATAACACCTGCCAGCCGACATGTGAGGCCCTCTCTGTTTATCATTGGCATCTTCTCACTGAATGACGTCCTTCACTCACCACAACCCAGTCCAACCTTACACCCCCCCCCTCCTCCGCTCCTTCCTCACCCCCCCTCCCTGTACACTGGAAACATCCCCCTACTCCTTCCCCTCCGTCGCCTTTGTTTTCATATCAAGTATTTTTTATCTTATGCACAACATATCTCTTTCATGCCCCTCGACTGTAGGTCGCTCTTGGAGCACACACGCTCGGCGCCGGGGTCTCCGTGGGTCAAGGCGTCCTCACTGAGATCATATTGTCAGCCCTGCTAGTGTACGCAGTGTTTGCTGCTGCTGTGGATCCAAAGGGACCTGCTCACCTGGCTCCTGTGCTGATTGGGTTTTCTGTGCTGGTGGATCACATTGTGGGTGTTCCTCTAACGGGGGCGTCAATGAATCCAGCACGCTCCTTTGGTGCTGCTGTCTGGGCTGGGGTGTGGGATAACCATTGGATCTATTGGTTTGGGACGATTGTGGGTGCTTGCGTTGTTAGCATTGCTTACTGCCTGGTGTTTTTGGTGCCTAGGGAGTACGGGGATAAGGTGAAGGCTCTGAGCCCCTTCAGGCCGAAGGATTCAAGCCAAGAAGAGGACACTGTTAGTATCGCCGTTCCATAGCTAACAAGAGTTGCGAATCCTAATACTGTATCAGGTTTCCCTTTCAATTCGCAATTCCTCGTCACTCTCTCTTAGGTGTGTGTCACCTCACAATCTTTGGGATGTCAATATTAATAGTGAACATCATATGTTGCGTTGAACGTGTATATCAATTCTTACTGGTGCTAACGGGCTCGGTCTATTGCGACGCGCAGTGGGTTTGGGCAACAAATTTGTTGTGATCTAGACTTTTACCTGCGACCCGTCCAACAGGCAATGCAAAACGCAGGGTTCCCTGGGCCTGGGCAGACTGCAAGGCATTCCTTGCTGGTGGCAAAGCTCCCTTTCCTCGTTCCTTGATTGCCCCAGGTAAAAACCGTTGAAGCCTGGTGCAATGTTTCCCTAAATCCTGCGACAAGGAAATGACAACCTGGCGAGCATCAGCGGTTCGGCATACCAAAACAAACCACTTGACGTAATTTCGTTCAGCCGCTGTTTCCTGGTGATGCCTTGTGCCTGCCCGTCCTTTCCGGATCCGACCGGATCGGACGCACCGAATCGAAAGTTCGTTCGGCAGGTTTGATGGTTGGTGGGCAGGGCATGAAAAGGGAGACAAGGCAAAGAAATAACCCACCTGCCCAAAGCTGTTGCTTTACTTGCCAGACCAGCCCCATTGGCTGACCGAACCTCCGCACACAAACTTCTGGCGAATCACATCCATCATGAATCCCTCACTTCTTCAGTCTCTCCTGGTTTTCGCCATGGGTCCACTTGACGCTACGATGCCCCAGTGGCTTCTTCCCCCATGATCCCATCCCCCTCCATCCACCCGTACCTAGACGCGCGGAACCAGGGTTTCCCGGACCTGGACAGCCTACAGCTATGCCTCCCCGACCTCCCCCCCCCCCATGCCATTCTGCCCGTGGCCAGCCATGCCCTGACGTGTTATCCCAACCGTCGATCCATCACCGTTATGCTCGGACCGAACCGGTGCTCCGCCATCTCCGCCTCCCCCAGTGACAGACAAGTGCACCTTGCTCCGCCGCTGCCCTTCCTCGTCCCCCCTCCCCTCCGGACCGAACCAAGTTCCCTCCCCCTCTCCCCCCAATCTCCCATTCCCCGCAAGGCAACGCTCTCCTCCCACAACGAATAACTACAGCCCCATACCAGACCCCCCCCCCGATTTATTAGGCGTTTCAAAAACAGCCCCTGCATACGCACCCCCCCACCTACCCTACTCGCCACCCAGCAGCGCTGCCATTGATGCAGCACCACCAGTTGCGAAACGCATAAGGACTAGAACTTATCCTGTTCGCAGAAACCCTTGCCCTACCTGATCGTGTTTCGGACTTGTAGTGAAGGTTGTGGATGCAGTACACCAATTCGTGGAGCTGCCAACGCCTACTGGTCGTAGATACGTCCGCTAAGACCTAATACTTACCGCTTTAGTCTGTCATTCAACCTCGGCAGCATTTCCTCAGCGGCTAGATCTGATCAACAGCGTCTCAGTCACAGCTGCGCCGTAAAGGCGCTTTAATCTCCTACAACATGAGGCTCCGGTTACCTCTTATCTTAGCAACTTTAGTAGCCGCAGTCGTCCTTGCCTCACCAGCTCTCGCCACGCACCGCGGGCGCGAGCTCCAGGAAGGTCTCCTATTGGCTAAGAAAAGCCAGAGCCTGTACCGGAACAAGGAGGTCAAAGGCGCCGCCGGCGGCGACGGCGCTGGTGGCGCCGCGAGAGGCGCCGCAGATGGCGCTGCTCCCTCCCTGACCATCTTCTGCGCTCCGAAGCCGTACGAGTCGGTGATGAACCCTCAGGACCGCACCGTGGACAACCAGCGCCGCGCGCTGCTCTCGTGGCTGCGATTAACTCCGGCTCCTAAGATCGTCCTTCTCGGGAACGACTCGACGTTTCACGCGCTCGCTCGGGAGTTCCCGACGCGCATTTCCGTCGACGACGCCATCGATACTAATTTCTACGGCGTGCCGCAATTCCATAGTATCGTCGCGCGCGCGCAAGCCGCCGACACCGATCTCTCGATGATCATTAATGGGGATATTATTCTGCTGAATGACGTCATGGTCGCCATCGAGAAGATTCACCGCAGCTTCCCGCACTGGGTGATGACGTCAGCGCGGTGGGACGTGAAGGAGGACTTTCCGTACTCGTTCGAACCTTCCATGTGGGCTTCGTCGGGCGGCGGAGGCGGGCGCAGCAGCGCGGCGATCGAGAAGGAGATTAAGAAGCTCGTCCGGGAAAGCGGGTCGCTGCATACCTATGGCGGCGTGGACTTCTGGGCTTGGAACAACTCGCCGCTTCCGCTTTTCGCGGGGATCATGCCGCCGTTTATGTTCGGACGCGGGAAATACGACAACTGGCTGACGCACGAGATGGTCGCATCGGGCGTGCGACAAGTCGTCGACGCGAGCGACGCGGTGACGGCGATCCACGTGGCGCACTCCTATTCGCACGTGGTGGAGGGCGACGCGACGAAGGAGGGCAAGGGGCTCCTAGGGAAGAGTTTTTGGTCGACGCGGAAGCACAGCAGCTGGGAGCTTTTCGCGAACATTCACATGGCGCAGACGCACGGCTCGTACGTCAACCAGAAGGGCACCGCGCTGCACGTGCCCTGGAAACTCGCCACGTGTCACGAGCCCTCAGGTATGCTTCGGGTCGAGGAGGGGGGAAAGGAGGAGTTGGGGAGGTGCCGGGGGGGGGGGAGCAGTTGGGGGGAGGGGAGCTTTGGGGGAGGAAGGGAGGGGGAGTTGGGGTGCGGAGCTTTTTGGGGGGGGAGGAGTTGGACGAAGTTGGGGGAGAGGAGGGGGAGGATAGCGGCGGGGAGGGGAAACAGGAGCGGGAGGAAGAGGAAGGGATTATAGCGAAAGCGGATTCGAGGGGGAAGAGAACGGAACACCGAGAGAGAAAGGATAAACACCGAAGTCCACCGAAGTCCACCGAAGTCTCACGCACTCGACAACGAGAAACACCGCTCAATCCCTGCCGTCCCACTCACCCACGCACTTGCTCCCGTCCCCTTTCCCGGGCACAAGTGGCAGTGCGGCACGGTGTCGGTGGACAAGCAGGAGGGCTACTCGATCGCCACTCACCCGTGCTCTCTCCCTCCTCCGTCCCCCCTTCCCCCATTCCCCCTCCCCCTTTCCCCCCTTTCCCCCCATTCCCCCTCCCCCTTTCCCCCCATTCCAGTCTTCAACATGTGCCTGCAGAAGCGGCTGCGCCCCGCGACCTGCACGTGCGAGTTCTCAAACTTCGTGGAGAACTCACAGTCGGACCCGAAGCTCGACCCCACCGGGCACAAGTGGCAGTGCGGCACGGTGTCGGTCGACAAGCAGGAGGACTACTCGATCGCCGCCGTTCCGTCCCCTAGAACGTCCATCGGCCTGCCGCACACCATGGAGCAGCTGCTGCCGCGCGTCGCGCGCGAAATCGGCGGGCACAAGGTGGTAACCCTAGTCGCGGTTACGTTCGGGTATGCGGAGATGCTGATGAGCTTCGTGTGCCGGCTGCGGGGGCTCGGGCTGGCGGACAATCTCGTGGTGGCGGCGCTGGATGAGGACCTCTACCGGTTCGCGTTCACTCAGGGGCTTGCTGTTTACTACGAGCAGGTGAGAGGGGGCGATTCTGTACTCGTTTTTAGCTGGTGAGGAATGATAGCTTATCAGTCTAGACCAGATTCGCAGGTCGTGGTTACGTTCGCGTACGCGGAGACGCTGATGAGTTTCGTGTGCCGGCTGAGGGGGCGGGGCCTGAGGGAGGTGCGCCTGAGGGAGGTGCGCCTGAGGGAGGTGCGCCTGAGGGGGCTGCGCCTGAGGGGGCTGCGCGCCTGAGGGGGTTTGAGCATGTTGTTTGTCTTGACAGGGCTGGGTCTAGTCGTCAGTTTGAGTTACAAGGGGATGTGAGTTACAGGGGATGTGAGTTACAAGGGATGTGAGTTCAGGGATGGAGACAGGGATGTGAGTTACAGGGATGTGAGTCAAGGGGATGTGAGGGAGTGTACAGGGGAGTGGTTACAAGGGGATGTGGACAGGGATGTGAGTTAGGGGTGTGAGTACGGGGATGTGAGTAGGGGTGTGGCAAGGGGGTGAGCAGGGGTGTGAGTACAGGGGATGTGAGTTACAGGGATGTGAGTTACAAGGGGATGTGAGTTACAAGATGTGATACAAGGGGATGTGAGTTACAAGGGGATGTGAGTTACAAGGGGATGTGAGTTACAAGGGGATGTGAGTTACAAGGGGATGTGAGTTACAAGGGGATGTGAGTTACAAGGGGATGTGAGTTACAAGGGGATGTGAGTTACAAGGGGATGTGAGTTACAAGGGGATGTGAGTTACAAGGGGATGTGAGTTACAAGGGGATGTGAGTTACAAGGGGATGTGAGTTACAAGGGGATGTGAGTTTACCAGTTGAGTGTAGGGCTCAAGGGAACAGATTTTGAAGTCTGCACCTTTGGCAGGCAGTGCTTCCGCCAGTTCACAAAGCTCCAATCCCCTTAACGCCCCTCCTTCTACTTCTCCCCATTCACTCCTCCCCCGCCCGATGCAGGTTAGCGTAGGTCTCAAGGGCATCGACTCCAAGAACTGCGCCTTTGGCAGCCAGTGCTTCCGCCAATTCACCAAGCTCAAATCGCGCGCCGTGCTGCGCGTGCTCAAGGCCGGCTACTCCGTCCTCTGGACCGATGTCGACATCGTCTGGTTCTCCGACCCTCTCCCGGACCTGATGTCGTACGGCGCCGGCACCTTCCCGATCCAGAGCAACGAGCCTAACGCCAGCCTCGCCGGGACGGGAATCCGCCGAATCAACTCGGGGTTTTATTTCGCCCGGTCAGACGCGCAGACGATCGAGGGGTTCGAGGCGATTACTGCGCATGCCGCCACAACTAAGTTATCGGAGCAGCCGAGCTTTTACGATATTCTGTGCGGGGTGAAGGGGGAGAATGTGGTTCCTGGGAAGGAGGAATGCGTGTGGAAAAACGGGCTGCGGACGATTTTCCTCGACAGGGCGATTTACCCTAACGGCGCGGTGTACGGGTTTTGGGAGGCGGCTGATGTTATGGAGGCGTGCAGGAGAAAGGGAGCCAAGATTCTGCATAACAACTGGATCGCTGGGAAGGATGCGAAGAAAGAGCGGTTTGTGGTGAACTCGTTTTGGCACTATGACGGGTTGAGACGGATGTGCACGTGGGACTGGCACAGCAAGCTCCCAGATGTGATTGTGCCTGAAGTGAAGGTGATCAAGGCCACCACATAAGGCACTGTTGGAGGAGTGTTTACTCAGTTTTTTTGGCACTATGAGGGGTTGACACGCATTTGCAGGTGGGACTGGCACAGCAAGCTGGCAGATGTGATTGTGCCTGAAGTGAAGGTGATTGCATCTCTCCCACCACATGAGGCACTGTTGGAGCTTGTTGAAGGAGAGGCAACGTGGTGTGTAGTTGTGATTAGAGTGTAATTGTTCCTGAAGTAAGGTGATTGCATCCATCCCCACCAGGTGACGAGGCCTCTAGTATGACTCGAGGTGCCTCGCACGGATGATAGGTGACTCAAGTGAAGGAGATTAGAGCCATTTGCACGAGTGGCTTTTGGGGACTAAAACGATGGAATCAGCTCTGAAGGGCTGCTGTCTTTATGTGATTGGATCACTGCACCACAGTGCCTTGTCATGGGTTGTCGGGGGGTGCAAGTTGGAGGTATAATTGCACTTGCTGTAATATTATTCATGTATCGTACCTGAAATCGGACCCCAGAGGCGCTGTTTTGTGTCCTGCCCGGGATAGGAAACTCAGATATCCAATTGCTGAAAGAATTAAAAGAAGCAAAAAAACGTATAATAATACAGCACGCAAAACTTATCATGTACAGAGTTGTTCACCACATGCAAGTCCCGACTGCTGATTCTTGTTACAGGAGGCAGGCAGGTTCGAGAAAGTGCATGGGGGCAAGGGCTAAGGGGCCTTCAAATCTCCGCCTGCTTCTCCTTCGCCTAGCGAGCTTCCAGCAGCATTTGCTCCTAGGAATACGCCCCGAGTCTATGCCCACTCAGCAGAAAACGGTTTTGTAGCACTGGCACAGGTAGTTGAACACATACCGCACGCAAGTCCCATACGCAGAGAGGGTATCTGTGCCCTTCGTGTTCGCCAGCAGCCTTCTCCTCCGCGCGAACACGCTCTGCGAAGCCGAGTACCTCCCGACCATTTCGTACGCGAAATAGCAGGGCGCGTTCCCGTTACAGTACTGCTGCACAACCGCCGCGGGGCTGTAGACCGGCCGGTAGATCATGTACACCACAACGTGCGACTCGATATAAGGGTCGTATGTCACAAGAATCGCGCCTGAAAGATCGTTTGCGTCGGCGTTCGCGCCAAACTGCTGGAGGTATGAAGAAACCATACCGTACGGGTCGGAGGGAGATGAGAGGTCAGACACAGCGACTGCGAAATTCGCCTGCGACATAGGGGGAGCTGACACCGTTTCCCCTGCGTCAACCTCCAGAACTGTGGGGTACATGTTTGACACGTCCAGGTTCACTTGCGAGGTGCCTTGTAACGCGGATGGCGCTGTCAGCGAGACCACGTACGACGAGTCCACTACACGCTCGGGCAGGCTGCGCAGATCGCTCTTAACGAACTTGCTTGTAGAGGGGTAGTAGGTGTACACGTCCAAGAGACCCAGGGGCACGCAGCGGCGGGGACCTGAAGAGGGGCGTACAACAAGGAGAGAGGGGAAGGAGAGAGGTGTGAGGAATGAGCTCTCATTTGGAGGGACGTACAACAAGGAGAGAGGAAGGAGAGAGGTGTGAGGAATGAGCTCACATTTGGAGGGACGTACAACAAGGAGAGAGAGGAAGGAGAGAGGTGTGAGGAATGAGCTCACATTTGGAGGGACGTACAACAAGGAGAGAGAGGAAGGAGAGAGGTGTGAGGAATGAGCTCTCATTTGGAGGGACGTACAACAAGGAGAGAGGAAGGAGAGAGGTGTGAGGAATGAGCTCACATTTGGAGGGACGTACAACAAGGAGAGAGGAAGGAGAGAGGTGTGAGGAATGAGCTCACATTTGGAGGGACGTACAACAAGGAGAGAGAGGAAGGAGAGAGGTGTGAGGAATGAGCTCACATTTGGAGGGACGTACAACAAGGAGAGAGAGGAAGGAGAGAGGTGTGAGGAATGAGCTCACATTTGGAGGGACGTACAACAAGGAGAGAGGAAGGAGAGAGGTGTGAGGAATGAGCTCACATTTGGAGGGGCGTACAACAAGGAGAGAGAGGAAGGAGAGAGGTGTGAGGAATGAGCTCACATTTGGAGGGACGTACAACAAGGAGAGAGAGGAAGGAGAGAGGTGTGAGGAATGAGCTCTCATTTGGAGGGACGTACAACAAGGAGAGAGGAAGGAGAGAGGTGTGAGGAATGAGCTCACATTTGGAGGGACGTACAACAAGGAGAGAGAGGAAGGAGAGAGGTGTGAGGAATGAGCTCACATTTGGAGGGACGTACAACAAGGAGAGAGAGGAAGGAGAGAGGTGTGAGGAATGAGCTCTCATTTGGAGGGACGTACAACAAGGAGAGAGGAAGGAGAGAGGTGTGAGGAATGAGCTCACATTTGGAGGGACGTACAACAAGGAGAGAGGAAGGAGAGAGGTGTGAGGAATGAGCTCACATTTGGAGGGACGTACAACAAGGAGAGAGAGGAAGGAGAGAGGTGTGAGGAATGAGCTCACATTTGGAGGGACGTACAACAAGGAGAGAGAGGAAGGAGAGAGGTGTGAGGAATGAGCTCACATTTGGAGGGACGTACAACAAGGAGAGAGGAAGGAGAGAGGTGTGAGGAATGAGCTCACATTTGGAGGGGCGTACAACAAGGAGAGAGAGGAAGGAGAGAGGTGTGAGGAATGAGCTCACATTTGGAGGGACGTACAACAAGGAGAGAGAGGAAGGAGAGAGGTGTGAGGAATGAGCTCACATTTGGAGGGACGTACAACAAGGAGAGAGAGGAAGGAGAGAGGTGTGAGGAATGAGCTCACATTTGGAGGGACGTACAACAAGGAGAGAGAGGAAGGAGAGAGGTGTGAGGAATGAGCTCACATTTGGAGGGACGTACAACAAGGAGAGAGAGGAAGGAGAGAGGTGTGAGGAATGAGCTCACATTTGGAGGGACGTACAACAAGGAGAGAGAGGAAGGAGAGAGGTGTGAGGAATGAGCTCACATTTGGAGGAACGTACAACAAGGAGAGAGAGGAAGGAGAGAGGTGTGAGGAATGAGCTCACATTTGGAGGGACGTACAACAAGGAGAGAGGGGAAACAAAGGGTGTGAGGGGATGAGGAGAGAGGAGAGAGGAAAGAAGAGAGGGGGAGAGCGGACGAGAGCGAGAGATGGAATGGGCACTCGATCACCAATGGACAGAGGAGCGTCTCGATAGCTTTGTCTGGGCACTGATTTACCTTTCATTCTCGAGCCGCCGATGTACATGAAGGTGGCGTTCGTCGCCTGCGAATAGGAGAGCGCCACGTTGGCGTCGCTGCTGACGTAGTCGGCGTCGGCGATCACCGCCCGCGCCTTTTCGCGACTGGCTCCCAAGCAGAGCTTGGAGAGCCCCGCTTGGTACCTCTGCACGGAGAAAGGGACCAAGGAGAAAGAAGGCAAGCGAGGGTGGGTTAAACGAAAGGGAGGCAGAGAAGGCAGGCAAGGTGAGTCAAACGAAGGACAGCGCTTCGACTGCCCCGCTTGGTACCTCTGCAGGGAGAAAGGGGCGAAGGAGAATGAACGAAAGGGAAGGCAGAGAAGGGCAGGCAAGGTGAGTCAGATGAGGAAGCAAGGGAGGAGAGAGGCGAGAAGGCAGAGAAGGTGAGTCAAACGAAGGACAGCGCTTCGACTGCCCCGCTTGGTACCTCTGCAGGGAGAAAGGGGCGAAGGAGAATGAAGGCAGGGAAGGCACGTTAAATGAGGGAGATCTTCTCAGTCGACTCGACGGGCAACCAGACAGAGCTTGGGAGAAAGGGGCGAAGGAGCGCGACGACAAGCGAGGGTGAGTCAGACGAGGGAGAACTTTTGGGTCGACACTCTCGCGAGCGACGACAAGCGAGGGTCGACACTCTCGCGACTGGCACCCAAGCATATCTTCGACAGCCCCGCGTGAGGCAAGCGGAAAACAAGGGCGTAAGGGAAAACGGAAAACGCTGATGATGGGAAAACGAGGCTGCGGATCGCGCTCGCTCCAAATTCCAAATGGACCGCACAAGGTTCACCGCGGGCCTACGCGTGCTCCTTCCGGCGGAGGTTCCCTCCGGTGCATTACTGGCCCCGGCTGGCGGTAGAAGCTTACCGCAATCACGACGCTATCGTTCGCAATGCCTTCGCGCGCTCTTTCTGGCGGAGGTCCCCTCCGGTGCATTACTAGCCTCGGAGGTAGAAGCTTACCGCAATCACGACGCTATCGTCCGCATTGCCCGCTCGTTCTGTCACGAATTCCGGCCGCAACGCGAGCGCGAGGGCAGGCAGGAAAAGCGCAGCCGCTAGCACAGGCAACGCTGAGAGGATGTGCGCGCGCCGCCGACGACTTGTTGCATTCGACGACCCGGGGCCCCGTCGGTTTCGCTGTGTCGTTCTGTTTCGATATAACGGAGCCATTCGATGGTGTCGTGAGCGAGATCGGAGGGAGTCGGGTAAATTCTGTCGGGAAGACGGAATAGTTGACGGAAACGTAGACGAGAGCTTCTTTCTAGACGCGGGAGCGAGATGGATGTGGGACGGAGGGAAATAAGAGCAAGTGAAGGTAGGCGCGTAGGATAGGGTAATGGCCAGGCAAGAGTGAGGACAACGAGACAACAGGGCAATTTACGCAGCACGAATTTTACATGAGATTGTCGACAAGAGTGAACTGATGTGTGGCTGGCAGTGTTGCTGCAGCAGCATGGTGCAAGGTGAAGTGACGGGGGGGGTGGGGGGGGGGGTGTGGGCAGCTGCTTGGTTTGGTTTGGGCCACAAACATGTCTCCTAGTCCAGAGTCAGGTGCTGAAAATACCCAGGAGAAATGGGAACCCCATACCTTGCGCATGTCTTGCTCCATGTTTTGCCCATGTCTGCCCAATCTCACCATTGCCATCTAACGGCCCGATCTCACCATTGCCATCGAAATCCGTTCAGCCCGATCTCGGAATTGATCCAACGGCCGAAAAACGCCCAGGCGAAATGGTTGTGGTGGAAGTGGCGCCGCGTGCAGAGGCAGCAGGAGTGAATGTGGATGGGGATTGGGGGTGCCATCAGGACAGGGGAGGGGACAGGTTTGCGAACACGGGTTACTGTAAAGGTGTGGTTGTTGAGCGAAGACGGAAACGACGAAAACCTCATGAAGCGGATGTGGCGGATGTGGCGGATGTGACAAGAGCTGCCCAAGGTGCTACAGTATGTGCCAGGCATCCTGCGCCCTTGGTTCATTCAGAAATCCCCCGCAGACAAAACCTCTGTGATAAACGTCAGCTGCTTATCTAGGCTCGACGTTGCGCGGCCAAGGTTCGGCAACTCCGAGCCTTGGCGCTCAGCTTGCAGTTAGCCTGCAGAACGCCATTCTCATGGGGGAGTAGTTGTCCGCTAGGAGACTTCCTCAACCAACCAATCCAGCAGACACCACACAACTTCTGTGGGGGGCTAATTGGGCCAGCACAACTTAGCCCTGCATAATAGCAGCTCCTGTACCCGAAGGCAACGGGCTGAAGCCTAAACCCATTCTTGATCTACTCCTTAAATGTAGCGTGGTTTTATGTGAAGTACCATAATGAGACTTTATACTATCTCGTTCTACTCATTTCACAACACCCGACCAGAGCCTAGACGAAAATACAGGTTAATATACAGCGTGCTCAACTTCTTTGTACGGATTATCCACAGCTTGCTAGCTCTAATTTCCCTTGCAGAAGACAACTACTAGAAGAGAGGGAGCGCCTGAGGGACACACCTAAAGGAAGTCTATACGTTCACCTTCATCAGCAGGGCACTGTTCTGTAGCACTGGCACACGGGCTTCCAAACATACCGCACACACGTGCCATACGCCGAAATAGTATCACTACTCGTACTTGTTACCAGCAGCCTTCTCCTTCGTGCAAACACGCTCTGCGGGGCCGAGTACCTCCCAACCATCTCATACGCGAAATAGCAGGGCGCGTTCGCGTTACAGTACTGCTGCACAACCGCCGCAGGGCTGTAGACCGGCCGGTAAATCATGTACACCACAACGTGCGACTCGATATAAGGATCATATGTCACGAGGATCGCACCCGAGAGGTCGTTTGTGTCGGCCTTTGCGCCGAATTTTTCGAGGTAAGAGGAAACCATTCCGTAGGGGTCGGATGGAGAAGAAAGGTCAGACCCAGAAAGTGTGAAATTCGCCTGCGACATAGGGGGAGCTGACACCGTTTGCGTTGCGTCAACCTCCAGAACTGTAGGGTACATGTTCGACACGTCCAGGTTCACTTGAGGGGTGCCTTGTAACGCGGATGGCACTGTCAGCGAGACGACGTACGACGAATCCACTACACGCTCGGGCAGGCTGCGGAGGTCGCCCTTGACGAACTTATCTGTAGAGGGGTAGTAGGTGTACACGTCCAAGAGACCCGGGGGCACACAGCGGCGGGGACCTGAAATGGGAGAGGAAGAAAGAGAAAGTAGAGATGAGAATGGAAGGGAAGGGAAGGGGAAAGAGGAAGTGAGCGAGGAGATGTTTTTGCAAAACGTGGGAGAGAGGGAGAGTAGAGAAACAGCGGGAGCAGGGAGGGGGGAGAGATCGAAGAAGAGGGGGTTGGATGGGGGGAAAGCGGAGGAGGGGGGAAGAGAGCGCCGACGAGGAATAGAGAGGGGTGTGAATGTGGAACGATGCGGAAGAGAGGAGACAGGGTCAGGAAACGGGGTAAATTACCCTTGATTCTCGAGCCGCCGATGTACATGAAGGTGGCGTTCGTCGCCTGCGAATAGCCGAGCACCACGTTGGCATCGCTACCAGCGTAATCGGCGTTGGCAATAACGGCGCGCGCCTTGTCACGACTGGCTCCCAAACAGAGCTTGGAGAGCCCCGCTTGGTACCTCTGCAGGGAGAAAGTGACGAAGGAGAAAGAAGGCAAGCGAGGGTGGGTTAAACGGGGAATAACTATCGAGTCGACTTTCTCGCGACGCGCACCCGAACAGGACTTGGGCAGTCCCGCTTGACGAAGCTAAAGGAAGAACGAGGCTGCGGATCGCGTCCCTTCCAGATGGATCATTCCTGATTTCAAATATTTGAGACGTTTCGAAAATGGACCAAACATCCCCTGCCGCACGCATTCTTGCGCTTTTGCGCGCTCCCTCCGGCGGAGGCTACAACTTGAAGCCCTGGCAGTAAAGGCTCACCGCAATCACGACGCTATCATCCGCATTGCCCGTTCGTTCCGTCGCGAATTCCGGACGCGCCGCGAGCGCGAAAGCAGGAAGGAAAAGTGCAGCCGCTAGCACAGGCAATGCTGAGAGCACGTGCGAGCGCCGCCGGCGGCTTGTCGATGGTAACGCGTGCCGTAGGTTTCGCTGAGTCTTTAGATTTGGAGCCATTGGATGGCGCGCCGAGCGAGATGTGAGCGAGCTCTTGAAGAGTCGAGCGAGCGCGGTAGGAAAGCCACGGAAACGTTGATGGAAAGGAAAACGATGTCTCTACACGCGACAGCGCGATAGATGTGGGACGGTGGAATATACGGTCATGGGTCTTCTAATTTCTGACGGCGAGGGATGGCCTGAGGAGCGGAAGAGCAGACTAAGCGGAGAGTACTTGTTCAACGAAAGAGAGATAATGGTCAGGCAAGCGAGAGAACGGCTGGCGGCGGTTACTCGAAATGAGATGATGGGCTGTGTCACTCGGACAATTTGCATGGGTGTCGAAGTGAAATGATGTACTGTACGGTTCGCTGTGCTGCTGCTGCAGCATGCCAAATGTGAAGTGAGGGTGAGGCTGGCTGGACAGAATGGTTTTGGGGGCACAAACACGCCGCCCCCAAGTCACAGCTGCGTCGCATCAGGCGCTGAGAATATTCAGGAGAAATGGGAACACTGTGTTCTGGCCCATGTCTTGCTCCATGTTTTCCCCCATGTATTGCTCCATGTTTGGCCCTTAGCCTGCCCGACCTACCCAGTGCCATCTGTATCCGTTCAGCCCGTTCTTGCCTTCATGATCGCGCGGCGTACCGGCGGAGGATTCTTGGGGCTGCGGGAGTGAGGGTGGATTCCGCAGCGAGTGTTAGACACGAGGGTTTAGCGGGAAGATCCGAGGCAGGAAAAAATTGCCTCGGGTCTTGCCAAAGACTGACAGCTCCAGCCAGTCAGATGTCAAGCCGAACAACTAACAATGTCGCGCAAATGAACTTTCACCTATCATAACTTCGAAGATTTCTGGTGGACTCGCAAAGTTCGGGTAGTGTAGTCGCAACCCTCCCCTTGCGACAGTTCGCGACTATACAGCCGCTGCACCGTCAAGAAAATTAAACCCGCAGTTAGGTTGTGACAACCCGCGGCTCCTTCGGCTGCGGGTCGACCTCGGGTCTGACACTCGCTAAGGATACGCCCTGAATGTCGTTGGGGATTGCCGAAAAGGGCAAGGGGCAGGTTTGCGAAGGTGAGTAACTGTACTGGTGCGGTTGTTGAGCAAAGTGCAGAAACGACGAAACAAGTGGGTACAGGCAACCTGGAGGTTTCGTTAGCGAACGAGCTGATTGGTTGTGACAACAGGCTTGCGAAGAGTAGAACTGTAGGAAGCTCCCTGCCGCCGCGTGCATTGAGTAGGGGCTGATTGTTACACTAGCGGCCCAACAAGCCAAGTGTTATGTGTGTAGAAATAGGAGTAGCGCGGAATCTAATGTCCAGTTTCGGAATAACGGAATCCAGTACAATGAAATGACGAGGCAAGATATAGGAACACCATAGCAATCCTAGCCGCGTGATCGAACAGGTTTGTAGAGGGCATCCGAGGACGCGGAGCGCCGAGTAGCACGGAGGGCGATGGCAAAACTGTGAACGAGTGAATGACAATAAAATGAAAGACAATACAATATATAGAAAGCCTAGGGTGGTCCTGGACGTAGGATCGGAAGATTCGGGAAAAGTATCGAAGGGCCTCGATGTGTCGAAGCGACGTCCGGAAAGGCCCAGGAGGCTCGAACTGAAAGGTCTGGAACCCTATCACTCGTTCGGGACTGTTCGAATCGTACGCTTTGTAGCAAGCCTCAGTAAGGAATTACTCATTCCTTACACCCAACAAGCCAACGTATCCCAAATATCATGTGTGTAGAAATCAGAGTAGTGCGGAATCTAATGTCCAGTTTCAGAATAACGGAATGTAGTACAATGGAATGACGAGGCAAGATATAGGAACACCAGAGCAATCCTAGCCGCGTGATCGAACAGGTTTGTAGAGGGCATCCGAGGACGCGGAGCGCTTCGGAGTGACGCAGAAATGGTTCGGTGCCGTGTTTGGGCTGAAGCTGGGGCAGCTCTCGGTGCCGTGTGGGATTGATGTGCGCGGTCGCGGTGTGGCGCACTAAGGAATGGAAAAATCCTTACACTACCCACTCTCTAGCGAAGGTGGTCTATATTTGCGACGTGCTTGCGGGATAAATAATCCCGGAGTACAGTAGGTGACTCTATCTGTACCGAGGGAACCCATGTATCGTCCTCGCTGGTACGACGAGTCCATCGTATCAGGAAGTCAACGTGTCGTCCTTGACCGTTGATTCGTGCGCGATGGCTTATGATCTTTGCTGGTTCAAGGAGCATTTCTTCGGCTGGTCGGAGATCCTGGGCGATCGGCTGCTGGGCGACGTTTGACGTGTCAGCCACAAAGGACGAAGGAGGCTGACATGAAATGAATTATGAAATTTCCAATCGTCGTGCAGACGGAGTTGGGCGGTCACTAGCGTGATCATCTTGATGATTTTGAATGGTCCACAGTAGCAGGGTCGGAGTTTTGGCGGTATCTACAGGCAAAGTTTTTTTGTGTAAAGGAGGACTAATTTCCCTGCAGTCAATGTAATATCTCGTCTGTGGCGGTCGGCGTATTGGCGGGCAGTGACATTGACTTTTCGGATAAATTTGATGGCAGTTTGAAGGTCGTTGACGAATTGTTGCGAGCGGGGGACTTGGCTTTCGACGTTGGTGGAAATGGGTACTGTCGGATCCATCCCGTAATTCAGGAAAAAAGGCGAGTGATTAGTCGTGGCGGAGGGTGCATTGTTCTAGGAAAACTCGAGCGTGGGTAGCGAAACTTCCCATTTGCTGATATCCGGGCAGTTCATGCGAACCAACTGTTCCATGGTCGGATTCGTCCGTTCTATCTGACCGTCGGTTTGCGGGTAATAAGCGGACGAGAACTATAGGCGGGTGCCGTATCGGTTCCACGTGTCTTGCCAGAAGCGCGAGGTGAATTTCGGGTCTCTGCCAGAATCGCGAGGCGAATCTGCTCCGGGTTAAGATTCGGCTGCGCGTGCAGGTACTGTAGGGATTTGTGATCTGTTCGTACAGTCACATCGGCTCCCGTCTGGTAACATCGCCGGATCTTGAACGCGTGCACGATTGTCGATATTCTTTGTCGTGTACGGGATAATTTTGCTCGTCCGACTGTAACTTCCGCGACTCATACGGGATAATCCTCTAGCCGAACTGCTCTGATGGTGATGTCACTTGCGTCTGTCACGACCTCGAATGGTCGCCCTGGGTCAACAATCCGAACTACTGGTGACGAGATAAAAATAATTTGAATCCGTCAAACGCAACTTGCTACTTCTCTCTCCAGCGCCTGTATGATAAGCGCCTGTATGAAGTAGGTCTGTATTGGGGTAATCCCAATATGGCGCCCTAGTTAACCCCGCCATATTGGGGATAAACCAGCGCACGTAATTGACGAACCCCAAAAACGATTGTAGCTCTTGGAGGTTGGTTGGCGGCTTCCATTCTTGTGCGGGGGTCGATTTTCACGCTTTCCGTCGAAATAACGTGCCCCAAAAACTCCAGTTCAGGTTGTAAAATCTCGCACTTCGAGCATTTGGTGATGAGACGATTTTGCTGCAGGCGTTGAAAAACCGCTTTCAAGTCCTTGAAGTGTTGCTCCCGTGTTGTGCTGTAAATCAGGATGTCATCCAGATAAATGAGCACACATTTATCGAGTAGATTCTGGAATACCCCGTTCATTGTCAGTTGGAACGTCGAGGGGGCATTCGTTAACCCAAACGGCATGACAGTGTATTCATAACCCCCGTAGCGAGTACGAAACGCGGTCTTGTGGCAATCGTCGGCGAAGATTCGAATCTGGTGGTAATCGCCGCGAAGGTCGATCTTCGAGAAATAGCGAGCGCCTCGCAGCTGGTCAATCAGTTCGTCCTCACGCGGTATTGGGTAGCGAGACTTTATCGTGACCCGATTAAGGGCGCGATGATCAATGCAGACTCGGAGGCCCCCATCCTTCTTGGGTGTGAACAAGATCAGGGCGGCGAACGGGGACGTACTCCGTCGAATGAACCCGTTGGCCAGCAAATAGTCCAGCTGGTCCCGTAGTTCCTAGAGATTGGGCTGCGTCAGCCGCCATTGTGTCCGGACAGTTGGATGCGCGCCAGGCTTCGAGTTCGATCCGATGGTCCTGAGGGCGTTCTGGTAGTAGCCAGGTGACAGGTCGTCCGAAAAAATATATGAGAACTAACAAGGTTTGCCAGATCATCGGGGACCGCTGCACAGAGCTTATCAATGTTGGCCAGTTGATCGTCGTCCGTAGATTCCTTCAGACGGACGGCATATAATTCCGGGCCTTTCTTGATCGCGCGTGTCAGCGTGATGACGTTGATGCGTGTTGTTATCAGCTCTGCTCCTCGCCATTTGGGGAGTCTTTGCCGACCATTTGCACATTTGACTGTGCACTTGCCTGTCGTCCAATCGATCTGCGGGTTGTGTCGCCGAAGCCAATCTCGTCCAAGCAGCACTAGCCGTCGAGTGTCGTTGCCAGCATTGGCACGCTGAAACCGAAATTGTCACCACACTTCATGCGAACAGTTTGCACGTGATCGCGTATTGCCAGCGGGGTGTCGTCGACCAAGCGGGCATCGATCTCGAGCAAGCACCGCTCCAGGGGTAAGCTTATTTTTTTTCGCCGTCAGTGGGTGAATCAGGCTGTGGCTCGCGCCACCATCGATGAAGATTTTCACTTCTTTGTTGTTAACCCTTCCTTCTACCAGCACAGGGTGATCCTCAGGTTCAGCCCCGTTATTCGTCCAAGAGCGGTCGATAGCGTGTACCGGTACCACTATCCGGTAGAGATGCTGTTTCTCGGGTGATGCAGCCATGTCAGTAGGGGGCCCGTCTGCTACTGACGAGAGTCGTTTCCCGGCCTATCCCCATCGTTGTTTTTCCCGTGCTTTCGGTCAGGGTAGTCAGCATATCGGTGACCCGGCTGGTGACATTGAAAGCACTGTCGCTTTCTGCGATCTTTGTCGTTCGCCACAATGCCATTGATTGAGGGCCGTTGATCCCGGCCACGAAAACAATTTCCCTCCCGGGAACCCGATGTCGCATATTTTTTATTGGCGTCGGACAGGTCGGCCATCACCACGGCTTGTTGGAACGTCGCTGGATGTCGCATCTTCACTTCGTAGCGAACGTCGGATTTGAGTCCAACGATGAACCGATTCTTTTCCTCGGCTTCGGACAGGTCGATGATTTGGTTGCACAGTGCCTGAAATGATGACGCGTAATCCTGGACAGAGGTCAACTGTTGCCAGGTGTCCAGCTTCGTGCGTGCGTTATCCGAGGCAGATATGGGCTCGAACCGTTCACGCAAAGCTGTACCCACGCTTTCCACGCGCGAATCGCGGGTCGATCCGAAAATTGACGTTGCATCCCGGGCAGCAGGCTCCGAACTCCCGAAAACCCCTTGAGTGTTCCCTGTCAAAGTCCCCGTCTCACTTAGAGTTGATCGCCACCAATCCAGTGCAGGTCCCCTCAGTAGTGAAACAACCAGTTTGATTTTTAAATCATCAACAGTAATTCCGACGGCAGCGAAATAAAGCTCTATCGCGAAAAGCCAGCCCGTGATGGTGGTATTTTTGTCCATGGGTTAAACGGGGGTGGCATCGGCGGCTTTATCTTGGCTGCTGGTAAGTTGGTGTGGCTGCAGGTGATGCAAAAATAATTGCTGCTGCTTCAGAGCTGGGCGGCGACCATTGTCGCAGCTGCTGCAGCTGCCGTTGCACGTGCGGCGGCATTCGTTGCTGCGGCTGCTTCATCATCACAACGCTCATGCGACACTTTGTGTGCGATTTCGTCCAAGACTATTTCGACACGTCCCGTGCTGGCAGCGTCCTCGGGGCGGGCGACTTCTGGCGCGTAGTCTCTTGCGCCTGGCGAAGTTCGGTAACTTCGGCGCGAAGTTTGTCGTTGTCGCCTAGCACAGCTGTCAGGCGAGCGTCTGTGGCAGCGAATTTTGCCAGCAACTCATCGAACTGTGCCTGGTCCATGTGGCGGACACTACGCCAGGTGGGCAGAGGAATATCCGTAATTACCTGTGCTCAAGTAAGAGAGCAAACGCTATCGTAGTCAGGCGAATTAATTTGTCTTAGCAGCTCAGTGAGCGAATTACTCTCCCCTTGAAAAAAAGTTTTCCGCGTGCGGAAGCGGGTAGGTTAGGAAAGTAGTGTCAAACATT